GGCTGCTAAGAAGATAAAGGCTATATCTCTCTTCTCTAGTCCCTTTGGTCTTAGGGGCAGGTATTTAGGCTGGGTTTTTGGGGGAATATCATGCAGGGCTTGTATCTTGGTTAGCTTCTGGGAGGTATTGCAGTATTTCTGGCAGTAGTCACTATTAAATATAATACTGTGGGCTGCAAATTATATCAGGGGGTTATGTACCTTTATCCAAGGTATTCCCAGCATAACAGGGTAGTGTGCTAACTGGATAATATAGAACCTTATGTCTTTCTCATAGTGGTCCTTAATTCTCATATCCATCTAGACATAGTGGGTTATCTTCCCATTCTCTAGTTCTCTTCTATCAAATGTATGCAGGGTTATTAGGTCTTCTAGGGGGATGGGCTCTAGCTTCTGGTCTTTAGCCCATCCTTTATTAATAAATCCTTGTCCTTCAGCTCTAGTATCTAATAGGGCATAAGTTAGTAACTTTATCTTCTTCTCCTCCTTCTCTAAGGTCACAGGTAGTATTATAGCCTTTAATTATTATATTTACTCCTCAAGGTCTAGTCTATAAATAGTAGTAGCAGATATTTAAATAATATATAGATTCTAAGCCTGATTATAGCTTACTCTAGGCTCACTCCTTTTACTAAGGAGGTCTGGCTTGGAGATGGGCTTCTAGATTCTAGAATCCATCCTCTCTGGGGACTCTCCAGGCATGGTTTATAAGAGGCCATGATCTGAACCCTTTAGTGGGTATTAGGATAGGGGCAGTCCCTAATCTAGTGTTTTAGGGAACCACAGCAGAAGCAGGCGCCTGTCTTACAGTGGGAGGGGCTATATCCCCTTCTTATCAGGTGTTGGGTAGTGCCTAGGTCCATGGGGTTGTATTATTATGCTAACATATGCTCATTCCTCTGAACAGCAGGGCGCTAGGGTTGCTTAGTAGACTTAGCAGTAACAGGGCCAGGGCTCTGGGGTGACTAGGGGCATTAGGCAGGTCTGGCAGTAATAGCATAGGTTTTAATAACAGGAGGCTGGTTTATGATATACTAGCAGTAGTGGTTCTCAAGCTCCTGCAGGAATCTGGCAAACTAGTAATACTCCTAGTTTAGAGGCTGGTTGTGCATAAGTATGCTTTAGAGTTCATGACTAATAGCCTGTTTAAGTAGGGTGGACAGGGTCTCTTTAGGCATCTCACCTTCCAGGGCCAGGCATTAGAATTTAGCAAAGAAGGTGCTAAACTCTTTATTAGTCTAATATAGGCTGAATAGCTTATTACAGGCATTATTCATACAGTTAGGGTCACTAAAGGTGTGCTCTAGGATATCTAGGATGTCTTAGTAGTCATTAAGGGTGTAAATTCCCTTCCTGATATAAGGAAGAATTTAAGCATACAGCACACCCTTTAGATAGTTATTTACATAAGCCATCCAGCTCTGCGGCATTGGGAAGCAGTTAAGGTTAATATTTATTTTCTCTTAAATCTAGGCTATGAAGCACTAAAGGTCCTTTTAGTTGCCTTTAAACTTATTAGGGTTAGGGAGTCATTCTAATAATCCAGCAGCTTTGGAAGATGGGGTAGTAATTAATACAGGCACTCTTACTAGAGTAACTACAGGCTTCTCAGCAATAGGCTTATGCACAGGTGTAGATACAGGCATATTCACAGTAGGGGTAGCTAAGCAACAGGCCTGGTCCCTTTCCATAGCAGCCTTCATATACTGCTGTTCTTTCTCATATAGTTGCTCTTTCTAGTACTGCTAAACAGCTCTTAGCTTAGTAATCTCTCATTCACGCCTCTGCTCTAAGGCAGTGAATTCACACTGGAGTTCCAGGAATTAGGCCTCAGATTATTCAGCTCATTGGTTTACTTCATTAATAGTTGATTCAGCTTTCTGGATGTACTCATATGCTAGGCGGCAGTATTCATACCATTCAGTGCCATGGCTAGCAATGTGCTTGGAGAACTCATTAGGGGCACCTGGCAGGAATGGGGGCAGAGGGGCAGGCATTCTAACAGTGTTAACTCTGAGGAGGGAGCTACGTAATATTAAGGTGCGGGCTTGTAAGTAAACAGAAGTAGGTTAATGAGGTAGTTAACACTTAGGTTGGCTACAGTAGTCTCTATCTATCTGTTCAGGCTGCAGGGCAGGCTGGTACAGGTAGGCTCTATAGACAGGATGTAGCTCAAAGAGCTTTAAAGGTTTCAGAATTGTGCAGTGAAGATATTCCCAAGGTCACATGATTCCTCCTCAGTGATGCCAACTCCTATTCACAGCAGCACCGTGACAGGTGCTGTGAAGGATATATAAATATTCCTATAGAATTATAGTATTTATAGGCAAAGCATAATATAGAGAGATATAAAGCATGGCCTGTTAAAACCTCTACTAATACCCTAATAAATTTAGGCTAAGATATTAATAGATTTTATTATAGGTCTCCCCCCTGTGAGAGACATAAGCATAATAAACTACTTAATTATCACTAACTAGTTAACAAAGAGTATAATTCTTATTAGGATAGACCTTACTACTGCTAACACAGTAGTAGATATGTTTTTAAAGCATTTCTATATACATCATGGGGTCCTAATAGTAATAATAAGTAACAGAGGATCACAGTTTGTAAGTGCATTTTAGAGGATCATATATAGAAGGCTAAAGATTTAGTAGTAATTATCCACTGCATTCCACCCTTAGTCTAACAGAGCTATAGAGCATGCGAACCAGGAGGTTAAACAGATTCTCTAAGCTTTCTTAAGCTATACATAGAATAACTAGAATAATCTACTACCTATTATAGTGATGGTAATTAATAATCATAATATAGTATTAACAGGGCTATTACTATTCTTCTTTACACATAGATATCATATTAACCCTATTACATTAGAAGATAATAGACTACTATAAGGTCCTTAGAATAGGCTAGAGAGAGCAGGCAAAGAGTTCATAAATTACCTTTAAAATACTACTAAAATAGCTTAGGCTGTGATAGTATTTACATAAGATTAATAATAGTATTAAGTAAATTAGTCAAGGCAAGCAGCACCTGTTTATAAAGTAGATAATAAAGTATAGCTTAATCTATAGAATGTGTGGTCTATATAGCTATATAAGAAGCTAGATTAGCTTTATATAAAGTATAAAGTAATAGAAGTGCTATTATCCTATATAGTGAAGTTAGATATGCCTACTAGTATATATCCCATTTTCTATATTAACTTAATATGCCCTGCTGCTTCAGACCTATTACCCTCTTAAATTATAGATAATTCAAGACCCCTACTATTAGAGGTAGATAGTAAATTAGAGTGGGAAGTTAAAGAGATTCTTACTGCAAAGATATAATGTGTTAGATAAGGTTCAAGAAGGGAAGTCTTAGTATATTAGACTAGCTATATAGAGCTAACTTAGGAACCACTCACAGAGTTGCAAGGGTGTTCTATATTAGATAGGTTTAAGAAGTAAAATAGCCCTGTTTTAGTAATAGATCAGCCCCTTCCAAAGCCCCCTATATATACTTAAGGCCTGTCAAATCCCTGTATTAGATGAATTCTACTTAAACAGGAGGAGGGGGGTACTATAACAGGCTAGAGCCTGATGTTAATTATATATATCACATAAAGGCTTCTATACTTAGCCTCTTAGGAGGCCCTACATGTTTACCTTTCCTCAAGCTTTCAATAGACAGATTGTCAGCCACACCCAATTGAGTCAATTCGGTCTGAGCCCTTCACAATTACTTCTATCTATTGAGATAGGGTTTCTAACAGTGAGGTATCCATGCCTTTATTTTACTTGCTACTTAATATTGCTTCACTAAGGTTTTACTAGGTTTTTTACTGATACTCTGTAGGGAAGAGGAAGCTTTTAATATATAAAGGGCTCAGACTAAATTAACTCAATTAGGTATGACTGACAATCTATCTATTAAAAGCTTGAGGAAAGGTAAACACATAGGGCCTCCTGAGAGGCTAAGTATAGAAGCCTTCATGTGACACACATGATCAACATTAGGCTCTGGCCTGTTACAACTGGATGCCTCTAACACTAGCCTTACCAGCAGCTGCTGAGGAATGGATCACTAAGGTGCTGTTCTCCCTCTGTATTAGTTACCTAATGACTAATACCATCTACTAGTATAGGGACAAGTTTCATTCCTCCCTAGTGGCCTTTGCCATAGTGCTGGGGATCTGGCCCCAAAATTGCAGTTTCTATAAACTATACTACTATACCATAAAGCTAGCTAGTATCACCTGGGTTGCTTGGCTACTCCTACTAGAATATATTACTAATCCACTGCTACTGCTTTATCTGTGGTGTCCTGGGCTGGGACTTATACTACTTCCACGTCAGACATGCCTAGGAGATCCAGGGGATCTGGCGCCTGGGATATATTCTTCCCCCTGAATGATATCCTGTCCATGTTAGTGGTGGGCCTGAGCATCATCCACAATGAGCTATGCCTGGGGACCATCTAATAGTCTCCGGATCTGCAGACAGTCTACCATCATCAGCTGCTGGATAGTGGGCTGCCTCTCACCCAGCTATGCCAATGGGTCCACCAGGTCGTCAAATCGGCCATAATGCTGCTAGAGTGGGACCTCCTTCTCAGCCACCAGTCTCCGGCAGATGTGCGATCACTAGTAGACAACCCCATAGCGTGTCGACGCGGGTTCTCCTTCCTGGATGTGCCCATCAACTGGCTCTAGGCCACAGCAGCACCGATTCTGCACCTGACAGAGAAGCCCCGTCAATTCCTCATCTATGCTTCCAGACATACCGTCGAGGACCTCCAGGAGTTCACGGCTCAACGAGTTCCCGCCCCTCATTGGGTAAAGACAACCAAAGTTTTCATTCCAGAGCAGTACCTCTCCTCTGCTGCGACCGTTCTTATCAAGCAGCTTGGTCCAAAAGGTGTAGGGCGCGTGGGGGGAGAGAAATGGTGGCAATGGCGTGGACCATCAGAAGATCTCAGATGCGAGTGGATTGAGATGAAGTCGGACTACCATGAGAGGAGACGCACCAATGATCATCCGAGCGGAAAGCGGATCATGTTGTATATTCATGGCGGTGCCTACTTTTTTAGCAGTGTGGAGACCCATCGGTATCAACTGCAGCGTCATGCTAGAAAGCTCAAAGGACGAGTATTTGCACGGTAAGACCACCTCTCTCTTAACTAGGGATATGCTAATCATGCGTAGTGAGTTACACCGGGTCAGAAAGTAGAATAGCAGCTAAAACCTACAATAGCGGAATATCGTCTGGCACCGCAGTTTCCCTTTCCCTGCGCCCTACAGGACTGTATGGCGGCCTATTTGTTCTTTCTCGAGGAACACAATCCGACAGAGATCATCTTTGCAGGAGACTCAGCAGGCAGTGGCATGATACTTTCGTAAGTGCCATACCCACTGGTCTGGCGACGTACTAATTTTGGCAGGATGTTGGTCACCATACGCGACCAGGGACTGCCTTTGCCCGCCGGAGCGATCCTGATCTCGCCCTGGGTTGATCTTACACATTCTTTCCCCAGTGTGCTATTGGACTGTCCAGGGGGCTATATCCCACTGAATGGCTTCCGGCATAAGCCCTCAGCAGCCTGGCCGCCTCCAAACGCGGATGAAATTCGCGCGATCAAGGAAGCAAAGCAAAAGTCCCCAGAAAGCGCCGTGGAGGAAGCCGTGCCAGAAAAGGACACCTGGGCTCAAGAGACAGCAGTGAAGGGGTATACAATTAAAAAGGATGGGTCAGGTCAGGCAGAACCTACTCCGTCGGGTAATCAACAAGCAGTGGATGACGAGACCAGGATCATTGAAATTCCTATTGACGGTCAGACAGTCGAACTTAAAGACCAGATTCAAATATACGCAGCAAATCACCTCATCTCTCACCCACTCATTTCTCCGGTACTCCAACCGTCGCTTAGAGGTCTACCCCCACTTCAGATCCTCTCCAGGGGAGGCAAGTGGTTAAGGGATGAGCAGTTTTACATTGCTCACAAGGCGGCAAATCCGACAGCATATCCACCCAGTGACAAGACTCTTGATGATTATGACCTGAAACGTGGAATCTTGCACAAGTATCCTGGCACGCACGTTCAGCTCCAGGTTTGGGATGATCTCTGTCACATTGCCCCAACCCAAAGTTTCACACATCCGGCCAAGTACATCTTCCGATTGATTGCTCAGTTCGGTGCCTGGGCTCTTGCATGTGCCCAGACTTCTGAGATTGACATCCTTGATGATAATGACATCTCCCACATCACCTCCTCCAGTGAAACGGACCTGGAAGCAGCTGCCAACAGTAACCACAGGGGTAGCTCAAGACCGCCCGTTGCATCCGTCGGCAGGGCTGGTTATCCACTGCCTGCATTTAGAGATCATATGATCCGCCAAAGAGTTGATAAAAGAGGCCGCATATACCCACTTGATCCGCCATCCTCGTATTCTGTCCTGCAATTCCCGCGGGATAGAATCGGCATTGCAAACCCGGAGCTGGTCCGGAAATGGATGGTAGGAAAGCATGAGTGGGATATCAAATTTGCTAAGGATAAGCTGCGAGTGCAGCAGCAACAGATCAAGGAGTTGTCTCATGGATTCCAGGATTTTGAGGGCAACACTGCTCCTCCAAGCTCCTTGGCGGCAAGGAGAATGGCTCCTGGTGTCTTGCCTCAGAAGGGCGGAAAGGAACGGAAGAGCTACCCGATGACGATGTGGAGTCGGATGGCGAGCAAGCATGACAAGAAGACCCTTGAAAGAGAACGCCAGATGCAAATGGAGGGTCGCTCGAAGCTAACGAGCGTCGAAGCTGGACGAGCATGGGCGTCCATGGACATGCGGAGATCTGGAGATCATGTCGAGTCGTTTCCGACTGAGGAGCTAAACAAGGACACACAGGTCAACGGAGGGAAAGCACCCGCGGCTCTGCAAACAGATGAGGGACCATCTAACGGTATTAAACAAGATACAAACCAGTCTGAAACATCTCGTCCGACGGCGTCGAATTGGGGACAGTCCACTAGTCCTATGATTGTTTTGCCCGATTATGAAAGCAGGCAGTTCAATGCAGATAATGCCAGCACAACGACGTTGCTACATGCTACTGGAATCATTCCCGCTCGATCTGATAAGCCCTGGCCTGTCTCCCAGGCCGGTTCCGGGACGATTCGCAGCGCCATGACCACCGAGCGAGAAGATGCCAGTACGATCGATGATGCGAGGTCAGTAGCTCTGACCGTGACAACGGCATTGGACAATGCGAGTACGCGGGCCGTCCGTCGTTCGGCCGGAGTAGTCAGTGTGGTCAACGATAAGAACTCGGTCAATGGTTCTGTCGAGACGTTGTCTGCGCCTCGACCGTCTGGGGACCTGGAATCTTTCTATTCGGTCAATGCCAATTCGGAGGGCGATGGTCATTCTGTCCGTGCTCGTCCGGATATGCCTGATCGGGAGGTGTTCAAGACCGCAGATGAACATCTTTGATTCTAATATGTACAGCCTTTGATAATATTGTGTCCATATCACCGTCTGTTGTTCTATGATTTGATGATTTAGGATACGTCTGAGATTCCCAATACAGTTTATTCATCATGAGCATTTTGAAAAGGCCACATTTATATGCAGTAGTACTTCTGTTAAGGCTGCAGTGAATATCTCTGGATCTTCCATGCTAAGCAGATATAGCCTTATTCACTACACTCATTCACTATGTGCATTCACTATGTATTAGCTTTCTCTAAATAGATTCACTGCCCTGACTCTTAATGCTGTCTTCTCCCCCCTTCCCTTCGTTCTTCTCCCTTGTCTTTCCCCCTTCCGCCTCTCTCCGCTGCTTCTCTCTCCAGCCTGATTCTCTCTTTTCTTCTCTCCAGTTCCTAGATAGCATCAATCCAGATTACTCTCTTCGCCCGTCTCTCTCGACAAACCAGTTCAAACTCCTGGAGCGTCTTGTTTCTTGGACACGACGAAATCTCGGAGAAGTCACACTCCTGATATTCTGGGTAGACGCGAGCTCCGCCGAAACAGTGGCCGGTCAAGTTCCATCACTTATCTTGTTCTCCATCGGGGTCTATCAAGTAATCATTCCGATAGCCTTCTTTGACCATCAACATATATATCAATTGTCGTATGGCGTCCCCAGGCAGGACTGACCCTAGCGGTAAACTATGAACTTCTCTTTGATTCGACTAGTTTATCTCAACTAACGGACAGCAGTGATTCAGGAAATATGACTGCCCTGCAACCGACAAGGTCCTGAGCTTAACTGGTGGGCAAGTCCTGAATACTTGAACACTACGCAGGCGAAACCTGTTGTCCTTCCCCTCCTGGCTTTTCTTCTCCTAGCCACCCTGACGGCTATGGCTCTGTGGACAGAAGCAGAAGTCATTTCGTTATCTGAGGAGTTAATCCCGATACTCCACGTCCAATGAGGCCTTGGGCTCCGCAAAGATTGCCCCTCGTGAGTCTCGCCTTGCAAAATCATGTTCTTTTCGTTTGATTCTAGCAGCATCGGCGCCCAACGAACGCTCTTATTGGTGCCCACAAGCGGATTTACTTGCGAGAAGACTTGTTGGCCTATTATGTGTTGGGCATTGTCTTTATGCATGATCCTGTGCTCTCCGTGCAGTCTACAATGGTCCACTAGGATAGCTACAGAGACCCTGCAGCCAATCGCACTCTGATAATCGGTGCACGGTGCAACAGGATCGCAGAAACCACCTGGCTTCAAGAACGAAGATGAGCTTATGGGGGATATAAAGTAATGGCTCTACACAGCCTTGGCTGTGTGCCGTTTGTGCTACTGTTTCGTCATAATCATGCCTAGTGAAGCGAAGCCTGGTGTGATAGACTTCATCCTAAGTATGGCAAAAGACAAACTAGTCGGGTTTACGGACGGCGAGCACAACCTCTGCAAAGAGCATGACTGCCATCTTGGCCATTAGGGCTACTGGGGCTACCTCAACTCACTCGTGTGAAATCACATCCGCACATCTACCCCGCATTCGATCTTGCCTACTCCTCGGAGGGCCAACACTCGAGACGGGGCCGGAGACATGGTCGCGACAAGCAACGCGACTCAGGCCTTGCTCACCGTCGACCCGATGGGCGATTATTTGGACGAGTACGTGATGCACACACTAGCAGGCTGCTTCGACGGGAAGCTTCATTATCTTCCCGGCCTGAATGGGGTCCGTCCCTTCGAGATTTGGTGCAAAACACTGCCGGTGAGGACCGCTCCAGTCATCAAACAAGTGAATTAATTTTCGACTGGCATACAGCTTCAGCTCAAGGGACATTATCAGGCTGTTGGCGGATATCACCAACCGTCCTGGTGTATACGGAGTTCCCCCCAAGAATGTCGCCAACCTGGTGTTGATACATCAGGATATCACTCGCCTTCGGTTGGCTACTAGTATCTATATTCAAATATCGGTAACTTAGATAAAAGCCGCCCTGATGGCCCTGACTTCCGCATCCCGCCGCCTTCCTAGAGCAGCGACAGAGAGCTGCACCCTAACTGGCCGTCTGCCCTGGCGCGATTTCAGCTGACAAGGTTGACGTACGATGGCGTGGAATACTGGGCCCTTCCGGACCTCCTGGGGCTCTTTATAATCCGTTCATCCCTTACTTTTTGACAAATTCTCACTCGATTGTTTGATGTTATTCCTCAGGACAATGGCTAATCCATGGATAAGTCAGTCTGCCTGCTGGGGAAGTAAAGGCAGTTATCGTCATCTCTATTAAGAAGCAGACCCTCAAAATCATCTTTAAGAAGTGGATTCCTGATAATACCATCCCAAAACGAAATATCCAGTCTTTATGCCATCAGAGCATTTCTGGGATGCCCGAACAGGCGATCACCATCACAAGAAATCAAAATGGTACTGCCAACGTTGACGGCGATCCTCTTATCATTAAGTTCAAGGGAATATTTTTGCGCGACCCGGTCGGTCACACCAGGAGAGCATGACTATGTCCTGTCGTTAGAAGTGCTCGGAGAGATTTGCAGAAACGGTTTGGGTCGAAATGGTGTTGTGTCGCCAGAATGGCAGGGTCGTGCCTTTTTCTCCGGTTTCTGCTGCGCTTGCGAATTAGCAGATCAAGGAGGAGCCGCATCCGAAGCCTATGCTCAGTACTGCTGGCATTCCTGTCAGCAGCTGAGGAGGTGATGGCCTAAGCCGCCTTCCTGTCGGGAAGTTGTTTGGTGGGAGGAATTGTCAGAGGCCTATTCAGACAGTTGGTGAGGGGACAGTGGGGTATGTTGATGGTGGTCTGATACCACTGCGGATGCCACCACTCCTGTTATGTCTCCTGCGGATACCGCCACCACTGGCCAGGAGACTGTTGCGGGCTCTGAAACCACTACGAGCACTGCAGTGAGGAATGCAGACGCTGGGATGCTCAACTGACTATGTCATTAAGGAGGACAGGGAAATGACAGATGATATACTTTTGACCACAATCAATGATTAAGAAACGAATGAGGGTTAAGGTTATTTGGCTACCCCACCAAAAGCTGGGTGTGCGTGGAGAGGTCAATCCTCTTGGATCGACCACCGTCGACATCAGCAACTGGAAAAAAGAAGCGGATTGCTGCTGGGCCCCTGGCAAACAGAGGACTGAACTCGGTCTCATTGTCGAAATAGGTCTGTCGCGGCCAACAGCGCACCTAGCTCTGGACGTGAGAGGCTGGCTAGAGACCCCTTCATCAACAGTCGAACTTGTTGTTATGATTGCCATCAACTAGGCGCAGCCCTCCTGTAAACACTCATCATTGATCGCATCACGCACGTATACCAGGATCAGTTTCCTCGTGAAGACGTCTTCTTGGATACTTTCAAGCCAGTTGCCCATTCACTCCACCATGAGCCTTTCTGTCCCGGAAATCAAGGCTGACCTTAGTGTCAGCGGGGGGTGGGTTGGTTTTTAGGATTGATTCTTGGATACGGGACTGTGTTCACAGTGTCCCTCGCATTATTGGCCTGGTCGCTGTTTATACTCGCCCGTTTCGGGCAAACGAATGGGTTAGTTCTGATACCTTGACTGTGTCTAAGAAGAACAAGAATAGTCACAAACTCATGCACATTCAGTCCTAATGGACACACGTCCTCTGATGGCACAATGCTTGAGTCATAAACCCATCTACGTAGCGCTACGAGATAGGTATTACGAATAGAACGCTCATACCACACAAGCATTATAGAATGGTAGCATTCCTGGCTGTTCTAGAGGCCTAATGAACGCTTTTCCCGTTTAGAGAAACCGTTATACCATCTTCTCGTCTGGAGAAGTGCTTTGTCGTCAAGACCAGCGGTATAACAAGCCTGTTCACTCCCGAGTTCAATACTTCGCAATCTTCCCCTCCACCCCCTCCCTCCACCGAACACCATCAACGCCACCATCGGACTTCTGTTACGAGGCCATGGCAGGTATTTCACCAGTTCACCACCCTTCTTTACCCAAGTACCTATAGTGTTTGATTTGAGTAAAGGGAGATACAGATGCCAACCCAGTCTCAGTGAGGGCACAACACAGGCTAAGTCACATGACATAGTCCTTCATTCTTGTTCTTGTCTACTGCCATGCCCACTCTGGTAGTTATCAAAGTATCTATCGACCCGCTCTCTCGCGTGTTTCTTCACCTCATCCGAGACATTTGGGTCCCTGACGGTGCTGCTCCTTGTCAGTCTCCTTTCTTTCTTTTCGTCAAGGTGCGTACGCTTTGTATCCCCTTATTACGTCCAGGGGTTGGGTGCCTGCGCTGGGCTCACGGCTTCTGGTTCGGCTTCGCCTTCGCCCGTCGCCTAGGGTTTTGCTTCGGTTTCGGCTTCGGCTTCGGGGCATGGTTTGGTAATTCTGTCTGTCGATGGTGGAGTCGTGATGCATGTAGTAGTGATGAATGCGTATGGGTGTGTTAATCTAGGGGTTTAAGTAGTTTGAGGAGACGCCACTGTATTCGATAATGATGATGTGCTACGTGCTAGTGCTACTGCTACGTGCTTTGAGATGATGAGTGTATGACATGGTGGGGTTTCCGTGGTTGAGGGTAGTTAAAGGCGAATAACAGAAGGATATCTGAGGGGCTTTTTAGTGGTGCATAACTGAGTTACAGGGCGGTTTTGGTAACTGCCCCGGAAGACCAATACCAAGATGTGGGATATATTAAGATTATGATATATCAACAACCACCTTGTCAACAGCTTAGAAACTTTGGATCAAGAATATTGACATGTAGTTATAGATCATACTCAAATTAGAAGAAAAGATATTCAGAAATGCAGAAGTTAACGAAGTTTTACCAAATATGGAGTTTTTTTCGGCTAGTAGCCAATCAAGGCAAGGAAATTAAGTATGGTATTATTCAGAGCTGGAGCCTTCGCTGGCTATAACTAGGCTAGTATACAGAAGAACTTGTTAAAGAGAGGTAAAGGGATAAATAATTAGGTGAAGGTCTGGTGAGTAGCTTTTCCTAGTTAGTCATC